GTTTATAAATTTTCAACTACTTATTTATTTGCTACAAGAATAGATGATTATTTTTAATACAAATATTTTATTTATATTGTCATATTTACAAATATACTGATACATTTAAACGATTGTTCAACAGTTTACATATTTATGGTCACCTTTTGTTATAAAAGCTAGTAACTGCTTGTTGAACTAAGCAAATGTGCGGACAATTGTCTCAATGTATTTAACTTATTACAAATTCCTCAATAAACGGAGATAAACAACTGGTCATCAAAGAATGTAGTCTCATACAACAGAATGCCATATTAATAGACAAAGTACTTATTTCAATATCATTTAAGGAAGGATTATAAAATATAATTTGTATAGAGCACTCAGCGTTAGATAAAACTAAGACCTGAATATCAGGCTTAATTTTTTCTTTCTGTCATCAGCATATGTTCTTGTATATACAGAAAAAGATGACTAAAAGTTAAATTAGAGCTAACCGTGTATTAAATAGCGTCTTCTATTTGTTTATCCACCCTTAATGTGTAAAAATTAACGGTTAGTGTATTGTAAAGTCACTTCAGACTTTATGGCCTGTATTTAACTATCATACTATCGATCTAGCCAGATGCTGTCCTCTAAATAAAAAGAACAAATACATAAGGAACAAATGACAGATTAACTGTGAAAAAATAAATTTCGATTTGAATGAAACAGATATACGCTACAAAGTAGATTTAACTAAACCAGATATAATTCATACAGGAAACTCCCAGTCGTATAATTGTAACCTAAATTTAAATCAGGTTTCGATTAAGTTTTAGTGACTACCCCTTTTCAAATTATTTAATCCACAAATCCGCTTCCTAGTTATTGAAAAAAATTGAGAACTAAAAGAAAGTAGTGAAAACTGTCTTGTCGTAGTGTAGTGGACGAGAACACAAGTAGAGGACAACTTAGATATTTGAACACTAAATTACAGAACGTCCTAGTAAATTTTGAGAACTATACAGTAAATACTTAATTTGCAAAGTGTCAATCAATCATCTCAGACTTTATTGTTCTTTCTTTTCCAAACCAATCATCCTCTGTTCTCGTTCTCTTTTTTCAATCTTCCTAACCATCTGCTTTTAGGCATTATACATTCAATTGGTGATACATACTACTTATATCTGTCGACATCAGTAGCACACCTCAATAGAAATGTACACTAACATACACACTACAGTACATTCTATTAGTAATAACTTTCTAGCATCCAATTAACAGTTGTCACGGGAAATAATGGTTAAATTGCCAATTTAATGCACAGACGTTTGCTGTCTTTTTTAGTCATTGCTTAATTTCGTCTAACCAAGTGATCGATCCTTCCCATAGTTTAATTTATTTATTAATTTCTATCTAGTGTAACTATTCTTTCTTGCCGGTTAATTTTACCACGAGCTAAAATCAACCTAAGTATTAGGGATATACAATATAAAATTGAAACTTATGGGAAGCAAACAAATTAGGTCAAAATTCTGCTACAGTGAAGTATTAAGTTTGAACACTGTTCATGGAATTCCCATATATTTAATATTCTGATCACTTTCTATGGATATAAAATCGATAAACTTAATGTATTTTGATTGATTTTACTCTACGTCAAAAACCATCTAATGAACTGATGTTTCTACTATAGTTAGTGGGACAGCGAAAAGAATAGAAGGTAGTCTTATTCACGACATTGATTTTGGAGTCGCAAATTATCAGCACAGAGCACGAACATATAAGTCATCAGAAATTGATGAGAATAATACATCTCATACGTTCCAGTTTGGCGCATAAAAGCAATAAGGACCTCAAGAGAAACATATGTCACATCACAAAATCGTACACTACACAATTTCGTGTACGAAAATACGAACAAACAATGAAATTCATATAGGTTTTGCCAGTGCTTGTCTGTATAATGAAATGATGACCTTTTGAAAATTACCAGTAAGATCACACTTTTGAGAATGGAATTATAATTCTAATATACATGGGTTTATTCTATTCGAGAAGTCAGATTCCCTCTATGCTGTACACTTCTGAGGATATTTCTAGCATGTGATCAGACTTGATAAGGTTTACAATTTTCCTGCTTTATAGTGAATTTTCTCCAGCTAATTAGCATTCACTAAAACAAAAGCTTTCGTGTCCATTTTCAGATGACTCCATAGATTCTAGTCATAGCATACTATCAATCAAAATAAGTGATTAGCACATTTGTGTTGGGTATGCATTGCTTCTTACATGTACCTATGCACACAACGAACTTTGTCTCACTGTGACTAATTGATATGTCATTAAAGCCAATTATGCCAATACTAACTATCGTATTTTAGTGGCCTTATATCTGACCCCAGTTTAATCGTGCGCTAATTGTTGCCAAAATATACCTGTCGCCAGCCCTCGTCTATTTTTATCGGTTTAAATCGCGTCAGTTAATAGCGGAATAAAATAAGTTTGAATACATATATTTCGTACACTCATTGATCTGAACAGACAATCAGGGAGACGAAGCGAAATGACGCGCAGTGGAAAGGGTGAGTGAACCAACTCGGTTTAACCAAGCTTGACTCGATATATATAGTCGAACAAAAATAAGTTACAGACATTTAATGAATAGCGCAAGCAATTTATATGCATATGATCACATAAAAACAGCCAGGGTTAGTAAGCGAATGATAAACAAGGTCAAAATGTAGCTTGAGAATCGATAAATTGGTCTGTATAAAAGTTAGAATAGCCCAAGTGGGCTTGAGATTGTACCAACCACCACAATATAATAATAATATCAGCTAGTGTCAGATTCATGAAACTGCCTTTAAATGCTTAAATTAATTGGTTATTTCGCCAAACACGACCGAAAATTATGTATCGTTACTCATACCGTTATATTATGAATACACTAAGTGCACATAAGATTACCGATTTTTTAAAAATACTTTGATAAATAGCAAGTTGTGAGTTACAGTCCAGTTGTACCAATTTCTATATTATTCACTTACAAATACCAAAAGAATCCACCTGAAGTTATATTAAACCTGCTAACTTACTAGATATTGAATTAAAAGGGTCTACAGACACACTAGTGGTAAAATTTTGACTTAAATATATCGTCCCGTCCGTAGGAATTAGAACTAATGCTGTAACTTGTCAGTCTTTATTAGCATATTTGCATCTTGTCTAGATACTGTCATTGTTGCAGGTTTTTGGTAAAGTCGAATTGCGACCAGCGGCGGGATCTGACAAACGTTTCATTCTACTTGCGAATTAAGTTTATCAGAATTATGTGATATTGTCCAAAATGTAATGCGCAAATATATCACATAATTCTGATAAACTTCGTCTTCGCATTGCATTATCGAAATTTATCAAGGAGACTAAGCCATGTGATTTTACAAATTTTCGGCAGAATCTAACATTTTTGACATGATGTCGAGTAGGTTTTGATAAATAGTGTCATGCTTTAAAAGTGACAAATATAAGTGAGTCAGGTTTTGGCTATGTCTTGTCGTATACCATAATATGTTTGTATATATTTACATAAAATACCTCGATATGGTGAGGCTGTCATTTGTCGACGACCTTTCAGCGACGCCAAATTGACCTTGAGAGCGTTTACCTACTAACTAGGGCTAAATGAGGGTTATAAAGAAGTTTGAAGAATAAGGATTATAATTGGTCTGTAGCTGGCAGTAAAATCAGGTATTCACATTTCATCCCATGTGAGACACAGCCGGATGTGTTAATATGCCACCACTGATGTTCAACTATTGCTTCAAACCGGACGAGTTATCCCCTGAGTCTAGATAGTCACTAACTTGTCTGACGAGTGTAAATTTATATCCAAGATTTATAATTTTTCAGAATAACAAGTACAAACTAGGATGAAACGTACTTTCTTATATTCACTGCTGAAATCCAGATATATTAAGACTGGTAACTGAAACTTAATACCAAGGCAATCTGCTCGGGATGAAAATATACCAACAAACTGACCAATTTCAGTCTTTAATGTCAACAACGCGAAGATCCAAAACTTTACATATCACTCCAATTTTTTATAAATACCCATTTCAATTCGTCTAAAATTTCCCACCATTTCGCCTTTCAAGCACGTTACTGTTCTCTAATGTTCAATTTATAAGTACGTTACTATCAAAAATCTATTAGCACGTAACACAGGAGAAAACGAGGAATTACAATGAATTTATTGTATTTTGCAAATATTATCGTACTTTATTTAAATAACGATAGATTATAATATAACAAATGTGAAATAATCCAAAGATACGCAGATACGTTATGAAATATATTTCCCTTAAAACTGACGGTTATCTAACGGACTTACATGTATGTCAGAATATGTGAATGGACAGTGAATGAATTTGCTGTCTTCATAAATATTTATTCAGTTATCCAACTTGAATTTAGAGATGAGTTGTTAAAAACAAGAACTTAAGTAAACGTATTTTTGAAATTTCACACGTATAAATCTGAAATTAAGTTAACAGAAATCGTACTTTAAAAAATAATTGCTTGTGTTTTACACTTTCTCTGATAAGCGTAGCCTATAGTTGACCAAAATAACCTTTGTATGCTGTTAATTTTTTCAAGACATCAGCTTAAAATATGAGAATTTAAATTCTTACATTGTATGGATTTATGTATTTGAAAAAAAGTATTATGACAAAGTGAATTACAATGAGAAACTGTTGTGAAAATAAGTGTGTTACTTGAAAACTCTAATCAGTAATTAGAAGCTATTTATATTCGTTTATGATTCAAAGTAGCTTTATTATTCAGCAGAACTTCCGTAGCGATAAAATTTCTTCACTTCATGGTACTCCATAAAGAAACAACGTAAAATTAATCGTGCTTATTTTTAATTTCTCTTCAACTAATACTGTACAATAAATTTATACGATATTGACTTATCTGTAAATTCCTAAATACAGAGAACTAATAAAAAAACAGTGATTTTTTACATTTGTTCAAGTCCCTGATTGGTTATTGTTTCTAGATTCTGGATCTCGTCGCCGTTCCGACTGTTCAAACTGTAATTCCTCATCAATACGCTCTTTCGCTCGAAATACCTAAATAAGAGTAACAGAACATTAAAAATACAAAACTAGTCAGATATTGCATTGATAAGAGCATAGTTTTAAGTAACTAGTGTCTCATGACAAAGCTAGACGAAAAGTATCTAGACGACAATTCTATTGACCAAATTATTCGAGATGATGCACTATAGAATACCAAATGTGTACAAAAATGTCTAAGTTTATTAGGCAACTATCTGAAATGTTCAACCACAATGATGATTTATAACTTTTGGACCGAACTAAATATCCATATAAATATGGTTCGGTTTTATGATAAAACCACAATGAAAAGTAAGCATTTAAAATTTGGTATGTTATACAAAATTTTGTCCATCATGGTTTAATAAGCTAACAAAATAGACGTTTGGATTAAAAATTGATTGTAAAATGTACCGATGAATACCTTAGATTGTAAGTAAAATGATCCACCTTTATCTTTACTGTTAGAGGAAAAGAGGTGTTCATAGTGTTTATTTAAAGTACTTATATCGTGAATATCTTTGACATTCAATATTTGTTTTGCCTCCTCTAGTGAGATTCCAGCGTTTTGGACGTAAGTATTTTGTTCAGGACCACCAGACCCATTGTTTCGACGGGCGTTAGCAACTCTTTGACTTGAAACATATTCTTCTTTGACAGCTTGGGCAAAGGCACGGCCCAAAACTCGAGCACCAGATAGAATCAACTGGACCAAATACTTGGCCTAAGTGTAACCAAAACAAAATAACATAATGGAATAAACAGTCATGAAACTGAAATACCTAAAATTTCGACTATGAAGAGGAAAACAAATTTTTGGAACATAACACAGGAAAATGCTATTAATTGATCAGTAACCCAAATACCCTGGTACGGCCAGGAATGGGGAGTCAGCTCTCCCTCTCCAAATGCTCTCACATGGCCACGTGCATACAACCACTGCCAGGCAAATCCTACTCACTGCCTTCTCGTAGCGGGGGTGTTGTTTACGAAATTGAGCGGACGAAAAGCGAATGTCCGGCGCTTTAACCGAGTTGAAGAACACGGAGAGTTGGAAAACCCCGATTACAAACCAACGGCGCACATGAGCTCCAGTCTTCTGAAGGAAAACATGGCGTACGAACCAATCGTTAGTCACCAGCATCTCCTAAAGTTGCTCCACTGCCTTGTGGACCAGACCTTTATGTCAAAGGCTCCGGATGTGGCCTCCTAAGAAAACCACCCGCTCCGGTTTGGACACCTGGGGAGTATCCCAGCCATCACACAAATCGAATGATTTGTGTGGCGCATATCTGTTTGGTGCATCGTTGTACTAATGTTTATGTGTTTAAATAAATAATTAATTCAGTAGTAACTAGTCTATTTTATTGATCACATTATTGACAAGAGGTGGCTCTGTTAGAAGGCTTAGCTATGAGAACGACTGAGTTACAAAACCATCAATAGAGCAGCCGAAATTATTAGATGTTGCTGCGTCAAGGGATAGATCTATTGCACAGCCAACTACAAGACTGTTTATAGAAAGGCCTATTGAGAAGTTTTGTACACATGGTGGATGCTATGTTTGAAGAGATTACGAGTTCAGCTGACCTGAGAACGAAACGAAGACTTTGTAACACAATGACAGATAAGCTAGTTATTCCGACGCGTCCACGCCCAGCTAACTAGAGAGAGAAGTTCAAGTTTGGGAAAAAGAAATATATTACACAAGTAGTCAGAAGCACGACATCAAGTCATACACTGACCACCTCTCCGCTTTTTCCAACCAGTCCCAAAGTCGGCAAATAATGCACGACGTGGAATTCTCTGGGAGGACATTCGTAGCACATTTCCAAGCCACCGAAGTCGATGTTTCAAGATGGTGACACCAATTGCATTATCGTCTCTGTGCCCAAACACACGATGCCGAACCTCTGCATTACTAACATGATGTTGCTACTGGATGTCAGCAATCTTTCGGATACAACGATGATCGAAAACAGAGAGTCGTCTAACATCCTCAACTCAGAGAGGCCAGGTTTCACAAGCGTAGAGCAAAACTGCTCTCACCGACGCGTTGTAGATCCGACCTTTCACAGCCAGACTAACATCACGAAGGCGCCAAAGGTGGCCCAGATTGGCATAAGCCGCTCTGGCTTTCACTATACGTGCATTGATCTCATCACTCACACCCCCACCAGCACTTATGCAGCTACCACCCAGATACACGAACTTCTCGACTACGTCTATCTGCTCATCACTCAGGGTGAGTACAGGATTAGAATCCTGCTAGTCTTGTAGAAGTACTTTGCACTTCGATGGTCCAAAGCACATACCATACCTATGGACACTAATTACCAACTGATGAAGTGAGGATTGCACTGCTTGAGTATTATCACACAGTAAGACATTATCATCCGCATCCACACCGCCATTACTTACATCCATCGGAGCTTTTTCCAGAATGTCACCGATGGTGAAGTTGAAGAGGAATGGTGAGATTGGGCAACCTTGCCTAACCCACTGCTCGAATGGAACAATGGAGAGAGGTGGTTGTATGCCCTCACTCTGCCTGACGTGTTTGTATATAGGGCCTTTAGAATGTTAATAAACTTCTCAGGCAGCCCTGATGTCAAGAAACATTATGATTGTTGGCGGTGATAAGTATGACGGTGTTCTAACATTTGGCGGAGGGTGAAGATATGATCAATACATCCTCGACCAGAACGGAAACTAGCCTGCTCCTCGCAAGTTAATTTTTCTCGAGTTTCGAACAACCTACGAAGTATGACGGAAGCCAATAGCTTGGACGCAATCGGAAGTAGACTTATCCCCGATAGTTACAGAAACAACGTGAACCATTTTTAAAGATAGGGACAATTATCGACTCATTCCATGACGTTGGTACCCTCTCTAGCCCCCAAACCTTTTTAAACAATGTAGTCAATTCCTTAACCAGAAAGTCACCACCATCTTTAAAAAGACCTGGAGGTAAGTCATCTGGGCCCGGTGATTTGTAGCGCTTCAGGGTTGAAGTTCCTTGCGGACTTTCGCCTCATTTAAATGATCAGTCGTCACAGGCCATGGCGTATAAACCAATCGTTTGTCACCGGCTACCATGGGACTGTACCTCCTAAATTTGCTCCACTGCCTTGTGGATCAGACCTTTAGGTTGAAGGCTCCGGGTATGGCGTCCAAAGAAAACCACCTCTTTCGGTCTGGGCACCCGAGCAGCATCACAGTCCACATACAAATCAGATGACCTGTGTGGCATATACGTATTTGGTGCCCCTTTGTACCAATATTTATGTGTTCAAATAAATAACAGGTTCATACGAAATTCGCTCCCTTAGGATCTTGGAGCCCATGTAAACCATTGATTCGGCACCAGAGTTTTCCATCCCTTTTAGGCGAATGTTCTGTATCCACCAACCTGTTTAAAGCCCTGGATATTAGCTTTCCACAAGAAGTCAAAGTGTAGGACTTCCCAAGAAATGGCTGTATACGGCATGGCCATGTGAGATCATTTAGAGAGATGAAATGGAGTCTCTCCACTCTCGGTCGTACTAGAGTATTCGGTGGCCAAGTGAAGATATTTTAACAGAGCCAAATAGATGAAAATAGTAGATTTCCTTCTGTTTTATAAGAACTTACACCCAACTTTGGACGAAGAGTTTCACAGTACCTGAGGATGGAGTGATAGGAGAGAATTATATATGTTAAAGTCTCAGCGACTGAAACAGAAAATAACTGTAACGTTTCGTTCAACAACCTGGTCAGCGCCTTCTCATGAAAACAAGCATCAAAAACTATGTTGACAATATTCGAACCGTTAGCAAAAAATGTCAACGAAACTGACACTGAATCCTGTTGTGAAATACGAAACATTTCTAGACGATTGAGACTCTTAATTACAGTCTAAAATTTAACTTTAAATATTTTAGTATGTCGACAGATACATGCAGTACGGAGTCGCTACATAAAAAAACCAGTGATCAGGGCTTGTTTAATAAGCTGAGTTTATCGATATGCATAATGGTCATAGCGTTAGATAACTGGAAATGAACCATCCCTAGTCAGTGAGAAATGAGTCCCACTGGAAGATAAGATGCTATTGAACTTTATTTTTATATTTATTTGTTTGAGCATATGAACATCGGTACAGGGGGCACCAAATACATATGCGCCACACAATAAAAGTGAAACCAGAAGTATTTATCATGGACTTGTGTGAGGGCTGTAATACTGCCCGGGGTGCCCAGACCAAAGTTACTAAACTGATGTACATTCTATATCTGCACGGAGCTTAAAGTTAATACAGAATCAGTCTCATGTATCTCATTGATACATAGATGCCCTGGTACGGCCGAGAGTGGGGAGAGTCCGCTCTCCTTCTCCAAATGCTCTCACATGGCCACGTGCATACAACCACTGCCAAGGAAATCCTACTCACTGTCTTTTCGTCGCGGGGGTGTTGTTTACGAAAATGAGAGGACGAAATGCGAATCTTCGGCGCTTTAACCGGATCCCAAACCAATGGTGAACATGGGCTCCAGTATCCTGCAGGAACAAATGGCGCATGAACCAATCGTTGGTCATCGGCTACCATGCGGCTGCATCTCATCACGATGCTCCACTGCCTTGTGGATTAGACCTTCAGGTCGAAGGCTCGGGAGTGGCTCCCTAAGAAAACCACCTGCTTCGGTTTGGGCACCCGGGCAGTATCCCAGCCCTCACACATATCGAATGAGATTTGTGTGGCGCATATGTATTTGGCGCCTCCTTGTACCAATATTTATGTGTTAAAATAATAAATAATAATAATTACAAGAAAGTTCGACCGAGGTTTACAATTTTTGTAATTGTATAATATTCCGCAGTCATTACGAATGATACTGAGTTCATGAATGTAATAAATTTATAATTTCTAAATCTATAACCGATATTCTTAATAGTATCGATTACGATAGTTGGTTCTCCCTGCGAGCGTGCACTGTATTGCATTATTGTGATAAGTCGACACCATTTTGAAGTAACTGTTTTCAGATGACTACCATACAGCTGAGGAACTGAAAGTATCTTTTACTACAGTACTCGGATAAAAAAAGCACAAATGCACACGAGGATGACACGCTGTCGTGCAGAACAGAGAAGCCGAAAAGGCAAACTGATAAAAGTACGCAATTTATCTATTGTTAGGGCTGTCGCACGTACGATGGAGGACTACTTGTGTACCTCTGAAGAACTAGTAGTTGTGAAAATGGAAGCTGCATGCGTCCCAGTCGACTTTTCAGTTGTCAACATTTTGACTGGGAACTTTTCACCTATAGCGAGGTAAGTATCTATGAATACATACTCATAAAGCAGTTCATCAAAAACAGAGGTTTTCTCATTAACGCTTTCATCTACTTCAAAGGAAGTTAGTAAACCGTATGTTGCAGTAAATGTAAACATGATACCAATAGGTTGCACAATAATGACAGCAAAATGATACTGAAAGTAATAAGTGATCTGTCGAACAAGACTGACAAACTAACTGCTTTCATCAAAAGCTCATCCATGGATGTGAAAGACAGGAACAGCGACAGCATAGACACTACAAGTTTCGCATTCCCATTGGAAACACCTGAGGAAATGCGTACTCACGAAGCAGCTTTGGATGAGCACAGGTTTTGTGACCAGTTTGTAAGTTGTGACAGGTATTTATAAAATTTTAGGTGACCAAATTGTCCGAGATCGTATGTGATGATCTTCGGAAATCTACCAAAGCATATCTAGCTTACGTTTTGACGCCGGAACTGGCAATTACCTATAACTTATGTAGGACCAAAAGTAAAATAAGTATCAGTAATTACAGGTTCTACACGGCGATTCAAAAAAGTTTACATCACAGTCTTAATATATTTGTAGATGTGTTCACGGTTTCGAAGTGCAACCTGTCCAGAAAAAGAAATAACACTAGCCATAAAAGTTGAACGCCAGGCTTTCTTACACGACGCAAAAGATAGAGTAAATAAGTGTGCATGGCGATTCAAAGAAAGGGTGAGCTAAATGCACTTAAGATCTGTGACTAAATTACCGTATTCTGTTTTTACATTTGTATCTGATAAGAATTTATACTGAAATGATTATTGCTTGTCCACCTGATTTTCAGCTGGCTTCGCAAGTGTTAACATACCTAACTGTAAGTCTCCTATTCAGAATACATTATTGTTATACCGTTGGTACGTAATCAACCTTTTACATGGCATTACGGATTCATACGTTGGATGATTGCTATGACATTTTTTCGCTTACTACAAGCAAGTTGGCTGTTTTGAGACTGCGTTTGCAATGCTGAGAATTTTCTTCTTTTTGTAGAATACCATGAATGACAGTTTAACATCAACTTAATTTACTTATCCAAAACACATGGTCAATTGTTAGGAGTTTGAAGCAGTAATGTATTAATGGATAGTTTGTACTTTATTAGACCTTAATAAGCACTCTCATTTATAACGCACCAGTTTTTTATTACGGCATTGTTCATTTATCGCGACATGGCAGTTCTTATTACTAATTGTGGTTAAACTGCTTCGCGACTATGTTTACTGTGCGAAGTCAACAGGGGAAACATGGAATAAATGAACAGAAACTTTTAAGCAATTACCAAATCCCCAGCATTTTCTGCGCTGTCGGTAATTTTGCTGTTTTTCGAGTGCAGTATTTGAGATAACCGGATATCGTACAGAATGTTCTCAAAAAGCGGTAAAGTATTGGGGTTTATCACAGAACACAGATGGATTCATTCAGAGTTGTCAAAAGTTCTGGGAAAACATTGGATGAAATCGCGAAATTTTTTGGGGTTCTGTGAAATTCCCCTTGAAAATTTCTATAGCGGCTTTCTTAAAATTTCCCCAATTTAGAAGTTTGTGGAGCGTCATATTAGCAAAATGGTGGGCATCATTAAGAAATTACTTCAGTGCTATATACCAAGCTAAACACTGAAATCTGAAAATGAAATATGCAAATAAGAGAGAGAATCGAGATAAAATGAGGTTCCTAGGGAGATAAGTCCCAAACTGACCATGAGGCTTTAAATATCCGCGAGATGCGTCGTAACGCATAAGGTTAAAAAGACGCTCCTGGTTTTTTTCGATATGTCTTATAATACAGTCCAAGGAATTACAAAGACCCACACTTAACTCTTAGTTATGCGTATTTGGATTTGTAGATTGCTTAATCACATTAGCCGTTTAAAAAGACTGTAGCGGTAAATAAATCCCCAAAATAAATAGCCCTGTAAGTTTTCGACATTGGATGCTGACCATATGTTTCAGTGGACTCATCTAGGTGAAGGCGCTCGGTCATGCATCCGCACCAGGTCACGTGTGGTAACGCTGTGCTCAACATCTGCCGCAATCGCTAGCCAGATTAGGTCAGAGAATTCCGATATATTGGTTATCACCAAATACACTCTTCCGATCTCCTCGACTGTCTTTTGATTTCTCTTGGTGGGTACGAATTATATTAGGTGTTGCTAGTAAAAGCGTTGTTAAACACTGAATACCTGTGCCATCTTCAAGACGCTTGACATAATAAAGATAATGGAGTCATCTCAATAAGATACCATACTGCATTGATACAATATCTTAACTGTCACGTAGTTGTCAGCCAAGCAAGCGTTCAATATAAGAACTGGGCCAACTACCAAAACTGACACTTAGTGTACAAATTTTTCGGTATTACGATTTGTAATATAATAAAGCAGCTAGGATTCATTTCTGCCATACACTCATCTCATAGCTCAGAATCATCTAGAATTAAAATACTTATTACCCACTAGCTCACTATCAGTTAAATCTTTAAATAGTTGTTCATAGTGTTTTCTGTATATCATCACGAAGCATTGTAATGACTTGATAATCACCCAATATGATTGGTTAAACTGGTGAAGTCACTAACACAAACTCGGTCGTTAAACTGATTTATTAAGTGCCGTTGTTTTCCTTTAGTTTTCTTTATCTACTATGTTTCTCCACCACTTTCTCATAAAGTAAACAGCTTAAAACCTTTTCAATCTAATTGGATGTTTAGCGACACGATCCTACTTGCAAATAATCAGTATAAGCAGCCGAGCGAATTTTCTGCACAATGAGAACACCATATTCAAATTCACGCCAACATTGACCGAGGTTCGTGTCATTATCACAGACATAAGTTGAGATTCGTACCCCGTTGGTTACAGCCTGTACTCCTCCTTGTAATCACATGAGCAGCACTTGAACTTGGCAAACTGCCCGGAACTCTAATGAGAACTTATCGATTTTGCAGTTACACTATTGTTTCGTTAGTTAGCCTAGTAAAGTAAATGCAATTGGAAATCAACTCATGCAGACAGAATACGAACATTAACTGACTATCTAATTCAAATGAAGAATAATACTAACATTAACGTCTCCACATTATTGATTGTTTTTCTAATGCTAACCACGAAATACTTATATGGTCCATAGGTTAACTTAACCAACAGTTATTTCTGTGCATCTTAGTGTGACTTCTTAAAATATATCTATTCTCAATAAGTATTGGTTATTATAAACCCAATTTCTTTAACTCCGTGTGCATTCTCATATTAAGCATGTTGAGGATTAAAATAAACATATATATATTACTAGAGTTATTGAGTGGAATGGATACTAAGTTTGGCTTTTGCTTCAACAATGAGGATGAAAAATGATTTTCTAATGACTGGAAGTGTTGATGAAGACCATTCGACCAAGCTTTCTGTGTAACGTTTTACTGGCCATAAACTTTGTTATCGTGACCTTGAAAAAATAATCCATTTGATTACTCCTGCAAAATTCAAATATCTGAAGAGGAGAGTAGATGAAATCTTCCTGCGTAGAATTGTCAGAGAGTTAACAAAAGAAACAATGATTGAATTGCTTAAATGGAAACGTTCATCCAAATATGGGATGTTTATAGTCTTCCGATGGTACATGTCGTCGAGGTACTGATTTTCCACAATCTACAAAAGGTCTTCTAAAAATGGTCAATAAAACTACGGTTCATATGCTAACCGTTCACAATGACCGAATATTTTACATGGACCCAGGTGAGTCTGTTACAACATCCGTTGTTTATTCTGAAGCTAATAGGCACATTCTGGATCGTAAAGAGCATATACCCAACGCACAGCTGAACAGACACATAATGGAGCTAAGGAGAAGACGTACAACAGATTATGGGAATCCGAATTTCCTTCTAAGCTGAGATGAATATGATATTTCCACTATTCAACGACTCATCTTCAATTTATTGCAAGCTTATTACTAATTCTACATATAATACGCTCATTTGTGCCCATCCAAACCTACCTGCCTTAAATTGAACTGTTTCGGAAATTCCTAGTTAGCACTTGAAGTTGAATATATCTGATTACCAGAATAATCGCCGATGGAGATCGTACTACTACTAGACTAAATAGTCCATTGATATACATTACATAGACTGAGGTTACGTTATTCCAGATGTCTGATTTATGACAACATGTAAAGAATCAGAATATAAGCTGGACAATACCTCATTCAATACAAATACGAGCAATCTACATTTATTTAATCGAGAGTTGAAGTCAACGACAGTAGGCAAATCACGTGCTGAATTAATAGTTTCTCTCGGTTCTCACCCGGTAGTCCATTACAAATTACCTCCTCTAGTCGCACAAACATTTTAGCAAGTAAAGGCGACGTGTACTCTCGGGTGTTGGACCAGAAGTCTCAGACAAATTATTATTGTCCATATTGTTGTCATCAGAGGCACGTATCTAACGACTGTTTCGTGGAGATCGACGAAGCTTGAGCTGTTATAAAATTTCGTTAATCACATCCTTGCCAATCAGAGTATCTTTGATGCGGTTTGGTAGTCATGATAGTGTTTGGTTTGTTTATGGACGTTCCTGTGTAGTTAATAAATAGTTGGTATTACCGATTACAGATTCAGTACGATAAATTTCTAAGTTGTCTCGAATTGTTTTGTTTCACTGAGCCATTCATCTGTTATCTTCGCTATATATATATGACTCATACATTTTGATATTTCATTATCCTTTTCACTTTTTAATAATAATAATATACCTCTGTATAAGCAGGTACACGCCATTTTTACAGGCATGATCTACAAATTACAACATTTGTTAGCTCACAGCATGCTCCCCAACCTATTAAGCTTATAGTTGTTATAAAGCAGACTTTCATAGCATCGCTCCAAACTATGACTGCACAAACTTTTATTCTAACGTCATATCTTACTGCAATAATAAGTTATTTTTTCTTAGTTGTTTTCTATTTTATATTATCTCTTACTAATTTGACGATACATACATTGTCGTTCATAAACGCGCCTATTAAATTATTTGCATATTTCACGTCTCCTTCATTTATATTTCCATATTTTTTCCTTTTCTTCTTTAAACTCGATTCAATATTCTTCTCAATTACACAGAACCTGATTTATTATTATTCTATTATTATTATTCCCTTTTTCAAACATGGCAAATATAATGCTAGCATTCTTGAAAATTGTACATTATTAAGTTTCTGAAGATACCCCAAATGGTTTCTTCACAACATTCATGTATTCATGAGATGTTTGTGAATAATAATAGTGATAACAGCGATTTCACAGGGTCCCTATCAAGCAATATGTACTAGGGCTCCAGCTGTCCCTGACCACCAACATCAAAGAGGAGTGTCTACTACATCATGGCAGGTATGTTGGGATTGAACTTAAGTTGAGGACTGATGTTCAACAATTTATATCAGCTTCGCACAAATATGCTTCTCAAACTGAATATAAGCTTATTCACTATACTGATAGAAGCAGTCTGAGACACGACGACAACTCTTAGTTCAATTTCCTCAAATTCTTTTAATCTGGGGGTCATCCCGAATTAATGGTGCCTGATATACATTACACTAATCCTTATAGAACGCCGACATAAAAACCCATCAAGCAACCATCCACTTAGTCCAGTTTCAGTACCCACTTTCCTTATGGATACTGTGGTGTGCGACGGACTGTATTATCTGTTGCTATCCACTAATTTATGGTTACAAGAAGGACAACTCATGGATTACGAATCCGCCAACCACATTATAGAAACGAACAATAGTTTTTAGTCAAAAGGAAAGATTGAATACCATGTACCTTGATTCCCCTATATTTATGGAGGGGTGGTCATAAGTATCGTGCTACGAAGTAAGATATGATAGGTATTTTGTCAAAAGTGAAAGCTCCAGACAGTTCATACTTAAGTAATCAGCTATTGAATATATGTGTGAATTACTCACTACCTCCTACAAAAATTGCTGGGAAATCAAAACTGATCACAGTGACAGATCATTTATCTTTCATCGAATCAGGGATAGTGAGAGCCTAGAATCTAAAACTAGTTTTCTGCATGACATTGTGTTGATAAATCAGCTAATACCCCAGGGTATCTGCGCCTTGCTAAAGGTTTATAGACTAGGTAGCCAAACGAACATGAAAAAAACTCAAACCAGGCTGCCTAATGTATAGCTGAAGTCTAATGAACGGGACATGATATTACAGAATGGACATAAACTAAAGGGTTTAAAAGTCAGTTTCTGTAAGGACTTGTCGCTCACAGACTGTGTAAAAAGACAAGAAGCCCAAAAAACAAAGCTTAGAATAGATGATTCCGAAAAGGACCTGAAAATTGTAAGTTTTTAGGTTATGAAGCTTCGACAAAGAATTAGACCGAAGCCACTCTGTCTGCAGCACAAATCCATTTAAGTAGGCCTCGGATCTGTTACACAAATGCTCGTAGCTTACTCAATACGTGTATCCCATGAGAGTAGGACGTTTGGATTAGATAGTTGCCGCTTTAAATGCGAGGGTCATGAGCTGTGGATTAGTTTGGTTTACTGCAGTCAAAGCTGTAAGTTAAATGGGGTCTTGCTTAACAGTTTCAATACTCGGTCACAAAGTGGTCGACGCCTAATCCTAGAAGACTTTAGTGCACCTACGGTAGAGTGGAAAATCTTAGAAATGAATTGTCAGAAA